TATTTTTGAGGCCCCCATGTAGGCCTCTTTCTTCACTATTATATCTAATAAGGGGATGTTCAGCATGACCTCCAATGTGGCGGTTGGACAGGTGTCCATTCCTCCTGTAATTCCAAGACATGCATACCTTTGTACAGTTGCGGTTTTGCGCTGTCTGTTGTTTTACTTTAGGTCACCATACGGTTGCAGCGAAAGTGACCATGGTTTTTACAACCATTGCAAATAACCAATACCTATATCATTTTTGACTTTAGTCCCTAAGTCTTGCTAAATTATCTCCAGCTATTGCCCGGTTGGTTGATCCTTTAAGATGTTGTTTCCAAGTGAGTTTCTGATCCAGAGTAGCTCCCAGATATTTAACCTCACTTGCGAAGTTGATTTGCATCTGTATCCCATTTAAGGTTTTGGCTGTTAGATTTAGCCTTGTCCTTGTTATTTTAAAAGGTACAATTAATTATGGTTTTGTTGGGATTCACGCTGGAAACCTTAGAGTAGGAAACTTTCTGCTGACACCATCTGATAATGACATTGTTGCAATAAGTAGAACAATAACAAATTTTGCTCATCGGCCTATGTCTGTAGATGGCTTGTTATATTGTTGTGAGGCTGTTGTTATGAACCGGCAACACCATACCATATTGCAGATTTCTGTAAGTATGTAGAAGATTGTCAAAATGTCAGTTAGTTGTCATGTCGTTTTTGTCAAGTAAGTTGGCGCCAAGATACCAAGATACCCACTCTCTTATAACCTAGAATTTTGTAGGTACTTTGTTTAAAATAATTAATAAACGATTATTTATACAAGAAATAACAGCGCAGCGAGTCGAATTATTCCACTAAAAATCCATTCCGTACCAGCCGTATCACTCTGCTAACAGACATTTAGGGCATTTTGCATGAGGTCACTAATGATCTTGTCATGAGTGTCATCCTTACCCCTAATGATGACTGTGAGGTCGTCAGCATATCCTTGGACACTTAGCGTGTTGAGAGGTTCATCTACTACCAGTGACCACAGTTCACAGCACTGTGGACAATACACCCCCTTGGGGGCTTCCCTTGACTGCTGAGACCGTTGCAGAGTCACTTCCAATAGTTGCTTCGATTTCCCTATTCTTGAGCATGGTTTCAATCCATGCAATTGTAGTTTCATCAAAGCTCTTATTTCTAGCCGCTCTTCTTATAGATCAGATCATGTAAAGTGTTGTCGAAAGGTCCCTCTATATCAATAAATGCGCATAGAGCGGTTTCTTGACTTGAGTGTGCCCTTTCAATCTTAATGACAAGACTGTGTAGGGCTGTCTTAGTTGATTTACCTGGCTGAGGCAAATTGATTTTTTTGGATCGGGCTTAATTTCCATTAGGAATTCACTCCTCATGTGAATGTCAATGATTTTTTTCATAGTTAGGCTAATTGGTCTGAATAACTAAGACTGTTCTGTAGGACACCTAGCGGCCTTTAAAATGAAGATCACATTCACATCCCGCCAACTGGTGGGAATGTGGCCTAATTCTATTAGAGTTCAGAGCTAGTTATTTGCTAGGTGTGGTACTGACCCTGTTGTAAGAGGGCGGGAAAGAACCGAACTTCACCTGGTGATTATTAGGGCTGGAAGTTTGTTTATAGCCTATTTAATCTTATTTTCAGTGAATTTCCTTCCGGCTAGGCTTCCACAGCGACGACAGCCCTTTTTCCATCAGGTTTCTACTCGATAGACTCTGGAAAGTGTGTTTACAGAAGCAATTTTACACTATCTAGTCTGTTTCCGGTGTAGCTGCTGTCCGATCTCCGAAGGAGCCCGATTCTGTTTGAGTGATCTTTTGCCAGGATTCTCTGGAGGCGCATTATCTGAGGGACGTCGATCATCTCTAGGATTCTCTTTTAATTTGGTAGAGACGATATGTAAACTTTGCTATGCTAGTTGTGAGGTTTATTGAGACTAATTGTCTTAGCTACCTAAGAGAGCTTATTGTGCGTTTGAGTGATATTAATGAGATGCAGACTAGAAATGTGAATATGCTAGACCCAGGCATAGACTACAATACTTCAAGAACTCTTTTAGATATTTTGCACCAGTGATTTTCAATGTAATACCAAAGGGAAAAAGTAATAATACTAAGTACAAGAAAGACTCAAAACAATTTATTGTACACCATCATCTTAACTTATAAATATATCCTCTTACAACTTTGTGATACTGCATTATTTAATGTCTCCATTCAATTACTAGGTATAAGTGAATTACTTAGTTATCATATTTTAAGTTCCTATTATATAATCTTTAATTAATGAATATTATCTATATTATATAATTATTTTGATAGGTACGCATGAAAATAGCTATTTATATAACAAGTACATAAAGTAAGGCTTTATTGTACGAATAATTTTATGGCCGAGCGAGCTTGCGAGCGAGGCTATTAAATAATAAGTCAATAAAGCCTGTTTATGTAAGCGTTATATACATGATTTTATTTACGACTAATGTATAATATGCGTATTATATTTGTGATTTTGGCAGTATAATGACATATGTTATTCCTCCAGGGATTAATGACGAGTAGCGGGATTAATCGTCATTATTCCATAAAAGTGTCAGTGTCAAACGTGTAGTGCTTGTGGATTTGTATTGAAAATTATGAGACGGATGAAATTTGTTCATTGAAAATCTCAAATAAATTAATTTGTCGTGAATAAAGTAGAGTATACTACTCGCAATAATGGCTATTATTCCCTCGGAATGTTACTCCCTCGCCGCTAACGCGGCTCAGTTCGTAATAATCCTCGGGAATAATAGCTATCATTATTGACTCGTGGTATAATCTACTATTATGTACGATTACGACTGGTTTTTGTTAGAAATTAAAAAAATTTAATGAAAAAGTAAAATTTGCGTAGGTATGCCTGTTTCACCTTGGCAGGTTGTCAGGACCTGTTTCACCTTGGCAGGTTATCAGGACCTGTTTCAACTTGTCAGGTAGTCCAGGTAGGCAATAAAGTAGCACTTTATTTTACTAGTACAATAAAGTACTTTATAGTAGTACTGTATACCTTTTGTCCCAATACAATAAACTATCTCTAAACTTCTTTTAGATCGTCTCAATTCTTTGTTGTATTCTGTTAGGGCTTTTTTGTATTCGCTCCAGTTGTTAGTGCATTTACCCTATTTAATAATTTTCCTGTCTGAGTCCTTATTGAGAAGTCTTGTTCCACCAGGGCGTTTTCTTCTCCACTACCGGTTGCTTTACAAGAAAACTCGATAACTTCATATGTTGTGATTACTTTATTTCGTTAGAATGGAATTCTAGATCGCCTTCCGTCTCTATAACGTTAGGAAGATCGGTGCTTTCCGTTCTTGATAAGTCTTTATACAGGCCCGGGTGAGTAAGTTTTGGGTTTCTATATTAATTGAGCAGGCCTCTGTAGCCTCTATGTTGAACCTGAAGTGTCTGACATCGAGGTTTCATCAGAAACGTGCCAACCCTTTATTCGGTTGCCTATAGCTGTGCTGACGAGGGTTGAATCCAACACCTCTTGCCGCAAACTATTTGCAAAGGTGGGCTTGTTACCTTCATTGATAATGTCTATGCTATACGAGAGCAAATATTCAATAAGGTACTAAGCACTGGCATCAAATCCAATTATTATTTGCTTGTTCCTGGTTTTGCAGTAGCTAATAAGTCGTTCAACGTCCTCTGGACGTGGATTTGTTCTGTAATCGCCAGGAAAGTAGGCCGAGGTAATTACCACCTCTTTTCTTCCTCCCGGCATTAATACTCCCATTGCTCCAGTAATCAGATCTTTGGTAATGAACTCTGGGAAAGGAACAAAGTTGATTTTTTTGTTGAGCAGTATTCCTGCTCTAGGATGTTCATGTTTGTTATATATTAACTTACATGATTTTGTTGGAAGTCCTTTATTTCGTGTTCCATGTATCCATATGGTTCTTGAATAAGGGCTATGTCTAGTCGTTCGTGAGTAAATCTGCAGCTAAGTACATCGGATGCAGCTTTGGCGTGATGCAGATTTACTTAGACGACCTTGCAAGGAGCCACTGCTTACTCCTTGCTAGGACCTTTGGGTATTTCTTGTTTTTTTGCCCCGTTTTTTAAAGGGCTTCTTCTCTATTAGGTTTTTACTCGTTGCATGGGGAAGGGCAGGATTGCTCGCTACAGCTCGCGCGGGGGTCCTTGGCAGGTGGCAGGCTTGGTAGGGCCCACGACCCCGCCGCAACAGAGTCAGGTTCTGAAGCTTTCCTTGTCTTGCCTGATGGGGCCTTCATCTCAGAGTCAGTTTACTGAATTGGTAGGCAACCCTTAAAATTATTAGGTACTTTTCAGGTGTGTTTTGATCTACGGATAGGGTGGAAAGGGCGGAGGACCCTTCAGCTACTCTGTCGAGGACTCTCCAGTCCTCTGTATTCAACCCAATTTTTTGATCTTGTTAGTAGGGCTCTCAGCACTGCTGGGGAAGCGGCTCACGGAATTTTGGATTCCTCTATCGCACCTTATGGGCTTAGGGCTTCGATTTTTGCAAAAGCCGCTTTGAAGCGCAGGGTAATTATCTCTTTGATATAACTAAGTGAGGCCTTAAATTTTGAATTTGATGTAATTGGCAATGGTTAGATGGATGATCACTATACAATTTAACAAACAGAACCTAGAGGTTCTCTTGAATTGCCACCCAAATCCTCTACTGGCGTTAATTGATGTGTATCGCTATTTCATAAGCATAATAATTATTTATCTATACCTACTTCAGAAAGGTGTTTTTCAGGCAATAAACTTAAATGAGTCATCAAAAAAAATACCTACTTAATTGTTATCATAACTTGCACCAGCGTTTGTGATTGATAATCTTATCAAAAAATCTTTCTAGTCCTTATTGTCAATAACAACAGTTTTTATATTGATCTTTTTTTTTTAAATAATCTCAAAAAAGTTATGATAACTTTTTAAATTGAAATCTTAGTCATAAAATATATTTGAATCTTTTCCAGCTTTTATTATTACGACAATTCCAAAAATCCAATTCCATATTTTGACTTTGTGGGGGATCACTCCAACAATGACACTCATCATCGTATGTTAGACACTTCAATGGCAGACGAAATGTTTCAGAAAGTGAGAATTTTATGTTGGATAATGACAGGTCCAGCGAATCACTTCAAGAAAGCTATTCACGTCAAGGCTACTTGGGGTAAACGTTGCAATAAATTGATATTCATGAGCTCCGAGGCAGGTAAAAACCATAACAAAATTGTTTCTGCAAAAAATCTATATAGATCGAACAATTTTCAGATCCACTCTTGCCCAGCGTTGCTTTGCCTGTTAGGGAAGATAGACCACATTTATGGGGAAAAACTAAAGAAGCAATGAAATATGTTTACAATCGTTATTATGATCAATATGATTGGTTTTTCAAAGCTGATGATGATACGTAAGTAACTCAGATTGACCTGATCATTATTAATTTTTACCTCTGATTTCAGTTACACAGTTATGGAAAATATGAGATACATGCTATATTATGCAAATTCATCAGATCCAATTTATTATGGATGCAGAATGAAATCGCCCCCTAACAATATGGATTTTATGAGCGGCGGAGCCGGATATATTTTAAGTAAAGAAGCGCTTCGTAGATTTGTTGAGGTGACTGATTGATAAATTACTTGAATTGTCTTTTACTTAATTTAATGCTTGTAGGATGCTCTACCAAACAGACATATTTGTCGTTCGAAAGATACTGGCGATGAAGACGTGGAAATTTCAAAATGTCTTCAAGCAGTCGGGGTTGAATTAGGCGATTCTTTAGATAACGAAAACAGAAATCGATTTACACCTGTATTTGTTAATGATATGTTGATACCTGGAATTCTCAATGACGTTAAATGGTTCACGGATATGATGTATCATCCATATAACATGGTGAGAAGTTATTATTTAAGCATGCGCATAGCTGATGAGCTTCACGTTGCTCTATGATGATCAAAATAAATGTTAATTTTGCATAAGGATGTTCTCCTGTCGTAATTATGGTTATAACTAGATCCGAATTTTAAAAAAATATATATTTGCTACACTAAATCATTTCAGCGAAATCTTGTCCTAATTTTCAGGGAAGAACTTCCTGAAAACTGTTCCAAATGTTCATCGAATGCAGTAGCTTATGTTGTTGTTGTTGTTTCAGGGATTGACATGTTGCTCGGATAACCTGATATCTACGCATTACGTAACGCCACATCAAATGTACCTTCTAGAATATCTCATATACCATGTAACCCCGTTTGGACGTGCCTATAATCCCAAGCTGGAAAAAAATAAGGAGATTATGAAAAAAGAAGTTAATACTAACAATTTCAGCAGTAGTCCTAACAAATCAGTGAAATGGGAAGATTATAAATGAACATCCAATTATTGTCGGGGACCATGAAATGTGAAAGTTTTATGGTGTAGGCATTTGGTAGAGAAGCTGCCGTTGCCCAAGAAATTTTGAAGGACTCTACAAGGCTCAAACAAGGAAGTAAAAGCTGAAAATATGAATAAAGAACTCTACAATAAATTTGTTCTACATCTAGAAATCTCTCTATTAGTTTACGTTATATTTGCTGTGATAATAATAATAAGAAAATGTGTAGCTTATAATAAATAGAGCATTTTTTTTTTTTTCAATTACAATTGAATTTCTGACTATTCCTATTCCAAACTAAATTCGATTAAATAGAAGTATCATCCTAAAAGTTTTCTCATTCCACCTTGATATTTCATTAAAAAGACAAAGTATTTATCGCGTTGCGAGAAATACACTCTGGGAATCGGAGTAATAGCACAAATAAAAGATAAACTCTGGCTGTTGGGTTGGCTTTGGCTCAAAGCTCAATTTTCCTATCTTGAATGTTGTTTCACGAGGTAAATTTATACCCAGAGGCAGAGGTGGAGATAATTTTCAACATTTTACTTGAATACCTACTAACCTAAATAATATGTGCAGGAGAAATATTCTATTGGTGTAGTGTTAAAGCATGTGTGCGTTATTTTTTTGTAATGTAGGCTGTGTAAATGAATAAATTTGTTCTTTAGTTTCTTTTGTATAAGAATCTCCACAAACCAGCTGAGTATAGGGTGGAAGTAACTCTATTTGTATTATAACCAGGGAGAAAAATGGATGATTTTTCACCGCGAATAGATGACCGGATGGAACAACAGAATTCCTACTAAAAAAATTCATTCTCAATCATTGACGGAAAAACAATTCCGTACAAAGATCCTTCACTTAATAAACAAATCGAAACAATATCTAACCACAACCAAATTCTTAATCAAGTGCTTGAGGTCAAGCAAGTACAAACCACAGAAAATGACGCGCACATTGCGGATTTTATCAACAAAACTGAAAGCCAAGAAAGAGAAATTGCTGACCTCAAGACCACCAAATTAGAAAACCAAATGCAAAATTTAATAATCAATTTCAAAAACCAGCATCTTAAACTCAATGAAGCCATCAGCACCAGTGAAGTAGAACAAAAGTACATAGAAGATCTTACTAAAGTCAATTCTGAACTAAAATTCAAAATAAATAACAATCAAAATACAAATCAAACATCAAACAATATAAAAAAAAATGCCAAAAGACCAAAACTTGGCCCAAATTCCTCGTCATCAGCGTCAGAAGTAGAGGTTCACGAAAGCCCTCAACCCCAAAACGAGGTTTTAGAGGAAAACGGAAACGCCAATTTTCCCGAATTACTGAACAATACCAATAATAAGCCCCTAAATATGCCACACAGTAACCTTTCAATAAAACTAAAACAAAAACAACAGCAAGCCCATACATCACATCACAACAAAGTGAGCAGCCAAAATCGGATAGAATTCCTCCAATTATTATCAGAGAACCAAAAAACTGGATTCAAATCCACAACCTGCCCAAAGAAAACAACATAGGCCTACACGATCCCAAGAAAAATGCAATGGGCATTGCAATAACCCCCAAAACATCAACCGACCACAAAAATTCTGAAGCAAAAAAGGTACAATACCACACGTACTTCCTCAAAGAGGACCTGAAACTTAATATGTATTATAATCAAAGGCCTAAATTTAGAAATTCCACTAGAAAACATACTTGACGAACTTGAAGAACTGAAGTTCAATCCAGAAGAAGCAGAATGGTTCAAAACACGCAGGAGCAGAAACAACATAACCGGACACCTCAATTTTCTGCTTCCCCAAACACAAACAAACATTTTCAATTCAAAATACCTGGCTCACATGCCAATCATTGTTGAAACACAAAGGCATCCAGGCAAAAGAGAAATTCCCCAGTGCCACTAGTGTCAAAAATTCGGACACACCCTCAGAAATTCCAATGCAAACCCAAAATGCCACAAATGCGCGGGAACTTATTTCTACACAGATTGCAAAAAACAGACAACACCAGCAAAATGCTACAACTGTGAGGGTACCCACATAACAGTGAAAGAACATTCATATTCTCAAAGTGCTTTTTGGAATGTTCTTTCAGGAATGTTTAATGAATATTCTAAGATTGTTTCGATTGAAATATTCACCTACTGTGTATAACATTATTTGAATATTCTCATACGAACATTATTATAATGTACCCTAGAAAATGTTCTTTCGGCTAATATCTCTATCAAGTATTAAGAATATACCTACCAAGTTGTGCTGAGAAGTTTATGTAGGTAAGTAACCATGATAAGAATATTTTCATATTGTTCAACTAATTATCTAAAGTACCTACTTAAAAATCTTAATTGAACAATTAAACAATAATGCTCTATCTAGAACCTACTAAGAATATTATAGGTATATTCTTTTTATCTTGCTTTGTAGGACTTCCAAGAGAGGGAGCCACGCGCTATTAAAAATCTACATCTTGCCTAACGTTTGAATCACCTTGGAAACTGTTTCTCTCAGTTGGCGTGCTTTCAGCGACGAGAGCATAACAAGGAGCTTTGGATAAACACTTGTGTTTTCCAGAGAAGTTTTCCAACAACTCATTCACTGCCTTTAATATAAAAAGGCTGAAAGGAGCATTATTTGGAAGCGAAAATTAACATTCCAAGTATATCCTTAGAATCAAACAAGAATGTTATGTCTAGGATGCATATTGAGAATATGTAGATATATTCTAAGAATATTTCAGGCATATTGGTATAATATTCTTTTGAGAACATAACTATAATGTCATAGAAACATTCTTCGAATATGAGAATGTACATTTTGAGCATATTTTTAAAATCAAACAGGAATATTCTTTTCAGGATATTCTGAGAATCTCATAGGTATATTCTAGGAATATCCTGATGGATTTCCCAGGAAGTTCTTGGGTATTGCAAACAGTATTTCTACAATCTTTTCTTAGAACATTCTCAGGACATTCGCAATGGTTTTGGCGAACATTCTAGGCACATTCCTCCTAAAAAAAGAACATTCTTATTACATTCTAAGGATACAATTTTGTTATGTGGGTATAGCCACCCAGCAAATTACAGGGGATGCCCAAGAAGCCCAAACAATCACAATAATAATCCAAATCCAAAAGAAACCACCCGAACCCAATCACAACCATTGCCAAATTACCCAAAAACCACAAATTCAACACTAAATTTCGCAAGAGCAGTCAGAAACCCCAATCAAAATCAACCTAATCCCCAAACCTCCCAATCCACACCGAACAACCAACACAATCGACCCATTCAAAACCCATTACACCTAAAAAAAATTGACACAATAATTGAAACACTAAAGCCTAGTTCTCATGCAGCGGAAAATTGAATGGCGGACGCACAATTTTCAAAATTTGTCCCGCAGCGGAGAAATGTTAACTTTTTGTGATATCACAAAAAAGTTAAACTAATTTTAACTTTTTCACGAGTTTTTATCCCCCGTCACTTTTCACTGTGACCTGTGAGGTGTATGGTACGCGATTTCCGGCTCTATGAGAACTAGGCTTAAACTAGAAAATAAACTCAAACCACCTACTAAGAACTCTCTCACAGCTACAGAACTAGCCGACAAGCAGAAAACAAAAATTTAAAATCTTTTTATAATGAGCTGGAATGCCAACTCAATATACCTACCCAAAAAGGCACGAATTTTCCGACTACATAATCGATAACAACATAGACGTAATTTTACTACAAGAAACCTGCCTAAAACCTCAAGCAGATTGGAAAATACAAAACTACAAAATATACGGCAGGAGAGACCGAGTAGAATCGGAGGAGGAACGGCAACATTAATAAAGAAGAACCTCCCACACTCACAAATCCAAACTTCAGAAACCAACGCAAGGATAGAAATGACAGGAATAAAAATAAATCACATTCACGGAGGCATTACTATAATTTCGGCATATAAAGCACCATCAGAACCACTACGGGAAGGAGACCTAAACAAAATCCTAGCAACTATAGTAGCAGGGGACCTAAATGCAAAAAGTGTCACATTCGACTTTAAAACCACAAACCAAGCAGGAAAAATTTTAGGTACTAAACGAACTAGCCTCCTCAGACCACACCCCAATATCCATCCAAATTTCAAACTACAAAAACGATCCTCCAAAACCCAATCACACAAAAATAATTAACTGGACCCAATTTAAATAAAAAATCCTAAAAACCAATTCAACCACCCATCCCACATCAAACATCCAAGAAATAGATCAAACCATTGAAAGCCTAACCCTCCAAATCCAATCAGCTACAGAACAATCCACTTTAACAATCCATACCAAATCCAAAAACCCCTACCAACTACCATCAGAAATAAGCGAGGAAATGAAAAAAAGGAACAGGATGAAAAGACGAACCAAACTCATTAAAGACCCCACGCTAAACACCCTAGCAAACAAACTAACTAAGGCAATAAACAAAGATTATAAAAACTTCAAATGGAAACAATTTTTGACAATATTAAACGACAACGACTTTATGTGGTCTATAGAAAAGTGATTTATATTCTGACATAGAACGCTCACTTCCATTGTAGTCGCCAAGTGACATTTACGACGGTGCTGCCATAGCGGTGTAGTCATTGAACTAATATTTGTCAGGCCGTTTGAATCTCGGTTTTAAATTAATGGTTTGACATTTCAATTATTTCAAAATAAGGCAGTGCTTCAATACTAAAATTTTATACATTTTATTTATGTGAGAATCACTTAATGAATAAAATAATGTATAATCTATTCATAGATGATCTGGCGTATCTGACAAACACTTTCCAATCTGCTTTTTGAAAATGTCCATTTTTCCAGTTAAATAGCTGTCATATTTGATCAAGTTATTTATAATTCCCTCGAGCATGTATGGAGCATTATATAGTGACACGATTTCTAGGTTGTTTATCTCCAACAAAACCAAAATTTCTGTTTCTGTGTTGTTTTTGATGTAGATTTCCCTGGTCTGTGGCTACAATTCGCTTTTGGCCGATTTATTTTTTTGCCAGAACAGGCCGGTTTTAGAGCAGGAAGATCAACTGTAGACCATTTATTCAGTTTGACCCAGGTAATGGAAAAGAAACTAGCCTATAACCAAGAACTCCGTTTACTTTTTGTCGATTTAAAGAAAGCATACGACAATGTTCCGCTGAAAAAGCTTTGGGAAGCACTGGAAAAGACCAGTATCAACTTAGAACTAATAAAGGTAGTAAAACGCTCTATAGTGATGCAAAGACCAAGATTAAACAGGGAAACTCAATCAGTAAAGGCTTTATAGCAACTAAAGGACTTAAACAGGGATGCTGCATATCACCAACACTTTTTAAAATATACTTAGAACAAGCGCTCAAAGGGTGGAAAAACAAATGCAGACACATGGGAATACCGCTCAATGAATACAATCTTTATACTTTAAGCTTTGCAGATGATCAAGTATTAATTGCACAGGACTATGATGACCTAGAGTACATGACACGAAAATTGATAGAGGAATACGAGAAATGGGGTTTGGAAGTAAATTTAACGAAAACAGAATATATGACTATAGGAGGTGAACAACGAAATCTGAAATTGAATAACGGACAAGAAATAAAACAATGTTCTGAATACAAATATTTGGGCATGAAAATCTCACACGAGGGAACCCTAGACGAAGCAATTAAAGATAGGAATATACAAGGACGCAAGGCAATATCTCTACTAAATGGTGTACTGTGGGATCAAAATATCAACAAAACTAACAAAACGAGAATATACAACACCATAGTCAAAAGCATAGTCACGTATAGTTCAGAAGTCTGGCCACTAAAGATCAGAACCGCAAAAATGCTGGAAGCAACTGAAATGGACTTTTGGAGGAGATCGGCAGGCAGGTCAAAAATGGAGAGGATAACAAATCTGAGAATTAGGGAGATTATGGACGTAAAAAACACAATAATAGATGATATAAAGGACAAACAGCTGATTTGGTTCGGACATGTACAAAGAATGGCAGATACAAGAATACCCAAGCAAATAATCGAGTGGAAGCCAGGGGGAAGAAGAAGACGCGGCAGACCAAGAAGAAGCTGGAGAAGTGGTGTAGACGAGGAAATGAAGGACAGAGGCCTAGAAGAGGATGCCTGGATTGACAGAGATGGTTGGAGATCGGGAATCGGAAGACGTAGAACGTTATAAACCGATAATTATATATATATTTTTTTGCCGCCTGGTCACACATTGTGGCAACAACTCTTAAACCGGCTGCTTATGATGATGCACTTATCACTTCTTTCACAGTCTTGGAATTCAAAATAATCAACGACGATGCACTCAACAAATTAATTCAGATGACAAGATGACATTTGCTTGCATTATGATGTTAAATGGACACCTGCGTTTTTATGACTGGTTTTTATATATACGATTCTATGTCGGTCATTGTCATTTTCTATTCATTAAACAAAGATAGCTAACTCATCGGTGAAGTCAGAGATTA